CTCTGAATAGTTCGCGAATATTTGAAATGAAGTGTGTTTTATAATAGAAATGGAAGTAGATTTTGAAGAGATACTGAATAAAGATTCATCCGACGAAGAATCCGTGTTATCCGACGACACCGGTTTTGTCAGTGACGCAAGCGAATACGAAATGGATCTTGAAGAAAAAATGTATACCAGCTGCAGAAATCCATACACTGAACGATCGTACCAAATACTGTATGATTCAGTCTTATTACACAACTGGCGGTCCTATAACCGTATGTGCTGCATGCATGGTGCTTTTAGCTAACATTGACACCATGGGAATGCATTTTATAAAGAAACATAGTATCAATTATATTGATGCGCTGAGCGGTCGGTTTTGTACGAACTGAAGAGTAGCATTGTACATTATATATCCATGCAACAGATGCCCACAGTACACAAATTAAAAACTATTTTGAACAGTATTGTGAGCGAGACATGGAAAACCGTGACATTGTAAATGATGTGTTGTACGTTCTCGGTAATCAGCGAAAGAGAGACATAAATGATGTGCGAATATCGCCGGTGTAGTTTCTACGCGACCGAGAGTTAGGTATACGCGGTGAGCTCGGCGGTGAGAAACATGGAAAAGTTATAACATCGTCCGTTTCTGCCTGGAGCCGAATTCTGTACATGCCTACCGACAACTGTCGGTTCGGTACGATAACGACGTCTGTCGCTTGCATGATCGATACACATCGTCGAACATAATTCTGTACACCGTTACTACCGACACATATCGTTGCAAGCGACAACCGTCGGTATGACTTTATCGATAAAGTACAGGCACAGAAAAATGTTAAGACGATGTTTCTCAACCAATAGTATTACAGTTCTAACAGAAGAAAAATTGTGATGAGATACAGGGAGATTTAAATTATAGGTTATCCATTTTGGAGGCGGGAGCCATAAATTAAAGAAGAAGAAGAAAGAAGATTATAGGTTATCATATATAATAAAATTATATATGAAAAATTATACATATAAATAGATATTCGAAATGGCTTCCCAAGGAAAGTATGTATTAATATCTACATATATACATATATCTGGGTAAAAAAAGATCCGTGTCAAATTATATGTATAATTACGTATAATTATATATTATTTATTACTAATTATTACTACTTATTATTATCACTTATTATACTTAATAATAATAGGGGACAGTTGATAGTCTTTTTAAATAAATTTTTTACACATAACTAATAAATAGAATTAGAATATAAATATTCTAATATTTCCATACTTCTCTCCATATATCCATTTCCGTACTTCTCTTCCATACTTCTATCCTGTATATATTGTTTATAATTATGTATAGTTAATAATATGTGATCATATATCAATAATATATATGAATTATGTAGACTATGTATAAATTATATCTTCTCTCTTTCCTTCTCTACTTGTCATATTTGTTTTATTATCATACATATTCTTAATTTATTAGTACAAAAAAATCTCGTGCGTCTCGAACTACGCAAATCCAATACGAAGAATTAGTTAAATATATGGAAACCCATTCAGAATTTGCTGCCGGAAAATTTTTAACGAAAGAAGGTAGAATCCATCATAACCAACAATGGGAAGAATTGGGAACATTTTTAAATTCATTATCTGGACCCGGAAAGACAACGAAACAGTGGCAGATGGTAGTTAAGCATATATTTTATTATTTATGTTAACAATTATGTTTTTACTTACATGTTTATAATTGTTTAAAATAATGTAACAAATATATTAACATAATAATATTATAGAACATACTGTATATATGAATTATTTTTACAAGGTATGGAGAGATTTGAAAAGCAATGCTTCGAAAAAAACTACAAAAATAAGAAATGAACGGAATCGAACAGGAAATTTTCCAATAAGGTCAGATCCTTTGGATAATTTAGAACAGCGTGTTATTGCTTGTATAGGTTTAGATTATATACAAGGTTCCGTAATTTGTCCCGATAGTACATCAGAAGAAGAGATATATGTGTATGAGACATGTTTATTTTTCTTGTAGTGTGTAATAAGAATTATTTTTATTATACGGTAACATGGGTTTGGCTCAAATTTTTTAAAATGCCTGAACACTACATATGTCCACAATGAGGATATAAGACGTCCTAAAAATGATTTAAGATTAAAGCCGACGGCACACGATGCTTGCTTTTCTGTTGGATTGCTAGCTGGATTAGTACCTTGCCATCGTATTGGCTGCGATGCTGTCAGTGCCATACAATGGCAAGATCCTAATCCAGCTAGCAATCCAATAGGAAAACAAATATAGTGTATCTCAGGCTTAATGCTGGATTCACACTGCATTCGATTTGCATCGTTCGACGCTCTGCAACCAATCAGAAAACAGGATTTCGATGATACGAAGCAAAATCCATCGGAATCCTGTTTTCTGATTGGTTTGGAGAGCGTCGTACAATGCACATCGGATGCAGTGTGAATCTAGCATAAGTCTCGATTTTGATATGTGTGCTTTTAAAGTATTTTTAAATTTTATCCAAAGTTACCCAATTACTATGTATGTTTTTATTTTTGTTTATTTCTTATTTCTTTACTATTCTATACAGAAGTATCAAATTGAACTAGAAAAAGGAAACGAAGAAGTTTTTGATAATCCACCTACAACTTCATCTATTGCGGACATTTTTGAACGAAACAATAATACAAACAGTAGTAATACTGAAGAAATATGTTAGAATCTTATGTTTTCAAATATATTGTAATGTGTATCTATTATGTTTTTAGACAATTATCAATCATTGTTTGAAGAAAATGATCCACTTGAAGACATAATAGAAGAATCTCAGGAAGTTGACAATGACAATTTGACGTATTTATAATGATGTACTACATACATTTCAAGGAGATAATGTTCAGCCAAATGCTTCTACAACAAAAGATAAAACTCAAAATTCGAAAACGTCTGGATGTAAAGAAAGAGTATTACAATTAAATGACAATCGTAAGTAAATATCTGTATAAAGAGAGACATATAAAAAAAGATGGAAATAAAAAATAACGAACTTGCAGTTAAGACTCCATTTTTTATCTGTAAATATTCAAATATTTATGCAAAAAGTGTCTAAATTACGTGAACATTTAGACTATGAATTTATTCCCATTGTTAATTGTGATGGATGATCCTACCCTCTTTAGTTACAAATTTTCCTACCCTCTTTAGTTACAAATTTTCCTTTAGTTACAAATTAAAAAATGAAGTACTCACAGCAATTTCGTTACTTTTATTTCCGTCTTCTTTTTTAGTAGCAGTTTGATTATTTTCTAATTACAGGAAGAAACCGAAAACGAATCGGTGTTCAATTTAAAGAAGCACGTGAGAAATTCACGGAAATTGCTGAGAACCACGCTGCAGCTTTACACAAGTAATACATTTGTCATTAATTTATTAATATTAAGTAATTCGTAAAAGTCTTTTGTCTTTTCATGCAGAACTATTACAACTATAATGAAAACGTAATGGTAACGATAATAGATGCTTTCCAGTAACAGAAGTCATACACTGTGTTAGACCGGATCTACAATAGGTGTTTTAAGCTTTAAGCCGCAAGAAATTGACCAACTACATTCGAATACGAGGAGAATAATTGATTGTGATTCGTTCATTCCTTATGGCTTAAGGCTTAAAACCCTATTGTAGATCCGGACTTACAGTGTGGCCTGGGCACTTATCAAGGAACAAAGTTGGAATAGATTCCGATCGGAATTATTTTGTTTTCGCCAGAAAACACAATAGAAATCTAGGGAATAATTGAATAATTCCGATCGGAATCCATTCCGATTTTGTTCCGTGATAGGTGCCCTGTGCATGTTGCTGGAAAGCACCCATATTCATAATTTTTAATAGTTATTTGCAGAAGCTTCAATGAAGCAAGCTAAAGCTGCATTCTTAATTGCACAAAATGATGAAAAGCGACTTAGACTCGAGGAAAAAAGACTCGCAATGGATGAACGGAACATTGTAGTTCTTGAAAAAATCCAAAAATTCTTGGAAAATTCCTCGCAGCACATCGATGACATGTAGACAGTCTACATAGATATGTGTATAAGCCAGTTTGTGATTTTTAATCCAAAATTATCTTATTATGTTTTTCTTAGGCTTCAGATGCAATATTAATTTGTAATCGTAGGCAAATAACAGTTGGTGTCTGCTAGAAAAAGTATAATGTAACAGCGTATGATAAAATGTATAATCAGTATCAGCTAGTATAATACATATATAAAGATAAGAGAAAAATAATAGTTCATTTCACATACCTTCATTAATCTCTCCCATATTGACGAGCAATAAAATTTTCCTGTATACGGATTGCGGTTGCACGTCCTTGAAAGACATATTGTCGTTCATCTTCCCCAATAACAATATTTTCTCTATTTACGTCCTGAATGAAATCATCATCGAATTCTATGTCATTTATTCTATGTGCAATTCTCATATTATGTAGTACAGCACATGCATTCACTATTTTGCCTGACATACCAGGTTCGTACATTAACTGTCTTTGAGCCGATAAACATCTAAATACAGCTTTCCAAACACCAAATAATCTTTCTACACATGATCGAGCGCTGCATAAAGCATCGTTATAGCGAAATCTTGGTGAACCTGGTATTTCATTCTTTAAAGGTGTCATCAGCCAAGGTTCCAAGCCATAACCATCATCACCTATAAAAATTATTTATTATTTAATACTTATAGTATAAATAAATATAGTTATAGTACAGTAAATAAACTGTAGCTTACCAATCAACCATGTATTACGTTCTCCGTTTCTAAAACGCCGTTCCATAATGCGACGTATTGGAGAATTTGACCAAATATATGCATCATGACGTGCTCCTGGATATCGTGCGTTTACATTTAAAATTTTCAAATCAGGATCGCAAATCTAAAAATATTATGATACAAATATTTTAAAACAAAATTGAGAGTTTTCAAACTAGCAGCCAGTAAGAAAAATAACTTCATATAACACAATATATACTGCTTGCACATTGATAGAGTGATCACCCCAATGGTTGACGTATGCTTCTTCATGTTCTTTTGGTGCTATAATATTTATGTGGGTGCAGTCTATTGCTCCAATAGTCCCATTGAATGGTTGAGGTGCGGTTCGAAATTTTTCTTGTGCAATATAACGCTCTTCATTAGTCATAGGAAATTTAACCCATTGTCGAAGAAGAAGGTCGTTAATTGCATTGGTTACAACTCTCACACAACGGCTAACAGATGGTTGACTTGATACTATGTCCCATTGCTCCGCTATTGAACCCTGATAGCAGCCAACTGCATAAAACCTCAAAGCAGTTAAAATCTGTGAAAGATATTTAATATATATTTAATATTTAATAATATTAAATATATAAAGGTTCAGAGGAATAAATCAAACAATTATAAATATAAATAATCAAGCCTGTATGAGCCAGCACTGGGTTTACTATGTGCAAACTTTATTATTCTAACATATAAAATGTCACAATTGCATAATATAAACGTTTCGACTATCCTTTTTTAGTCCTCTTCAGTATAAAATTCAGTATGAATTTGTATTCAATTTATGGAATTTTATACTGAAGAGGACTAAAAAAGGATAGTCGAAACGTTTATATTATGTAATTGTGACATTTTATATGTTAGAATAATAAAGTTTGTACATAGTAAACCCAGTGCTGGCTCATACAGGCTTGATTTTTTATATTTAATATTTAATGTTAGAAATTATGAGTCATATATTATACATGTATATAAAAATTTTATACATAATATATATTATATAATATACATTTGCGTGCAAAATCATACATGCATATGTTTGTATGTAGGTATTTGTGTATGTAAATAATAAAAATAAGAATTAAGATCTGACCGTGTACAACATATCCGTATAGAGAGCGTCAATGATCTTTGGCCGCTCATTGGCGCTCTTTATACAAATAATAGAAAACTTTATTAAAAAATAACTTAATCTGTAACTTCTATAATAGAACATTATATATGTATACATATACATGCAAAATAATTTGTACCTGATGTTCTACGCTAAAACCATATGGACGTTGACGTTGTAACCTTGGTCCCAAAACATCTTCTAATTCCATCACAATATCTGGGCTAACTCTATACAATTTTATAAACTGGCTATCGTCTAAATTAAACGGATCGTGATTATCACGCCATGCTTTTCTCTGTATGCGGCGGTTTAAACGTTCTGCTCTGTGCTCTAAATGTAGAAGATCCCATGCAGGGATTCATGTGCCATATTTTTGCTATAAGAAAATACAACAAATTAATTCATATAAAATATATTTATATATAAATATATAAATAAATTAACTTTTCCATCCGGTCCCCGTCACCCGCCTGCCACCAAGTGATCCAGAACATATATTACATCTCAGGTTCGCTCGCATCACTCACCGTCCAGAATATACATTTTTTTGTATCAAGTATGCTTCGTAGAGAAGCAAAAAATTCGAAATGCTTACCTAATACCCCATCCCCGCTTCCTCCTCCACAACCTCTACCTCCACTATCTAATCACTCTCCAACAATTTTTATGTCACCTTATCATCCTCTGCTGTTATATTAATGTATCTTGAAAGGAATTGATATAATTCTTCCTCATTATCTGTATTGAAGAAGTCGAGTATGAACTCGATTAATTCACTTGTACACGATTCAAAATCAAAAACTGGGAGGTTTTCACCGAGCTCATTCTCGCCGAGCTCATTCTCGCTGAGCTCATGTTCTTCGAGCTCATGCTCGACTTCTTCATCCTCCTCTGAGGCGGAAGTAGCCTCAAATCTTTCAAATCTTTCTACGATTGGGACATCCTCGTCCCCCTCAATATCATTTTCAAAACTATATGGCACTTTAACTTTCATTTTGCCCTCGCACTAGACTGACTAGACTGTTCACTACACTATTATACTCGTAAATGAATATACTGGTCAGCTGCTGGTTTTCACTAAGATTATATAGTGAAAGTTATTGCAAAACATTTCCTTTTCTCCTTAAAAGTCTTTTATGTGTTATCATACTATTTTTCTTTAAACGCGATATAAATGTTTTGAAAATATCTAGTGAGAATATCTGAAGTATTACACATTTTTATCGTTCAAATACTGATAGTGATACATGTTTGATATTGCGAGAACATTGAATGTGATATATGTATACATGTGTGAGAATAACTAAAGTAATATAAATTAAAATGTTTTTTATGCTTTAAATAAATCCTAAATCGTAAGGATAAATTTTTATAGTTTATCATTAAGTATCTAATTTGTGGAAGAAAGGTTAGGTTAAAAATTATATTTGTACATATAATTGTTTATTATAATAAAAATAATATACATAGGTTAGCGCTCTCCAAAGACCAAAGCGATTAATTCACATTGAATTATATCATTGTGGTTGAAGGATTCATCATCGTACATTGTTTTCAGTATATTCGCAGGTTCCTTGATAGTGGAAGCGATATCGAAAAGTCGTGATAATTTTTTGTCAACGTTATTGATAATCGAATTTAACGAGGAAATAAGACGATTTACACAATATTCCAGATTAAACATATTGAGCACGGTGTTTTTTGACATGGATAGGCGAGTCGTGGGCGCTTCTAAACGTAATACGAGTATCGGTAGATTATTAATTCGTCCGAAACGTAAGATTTCCAATATACATTGGAGACGGAGGACGTATCCCTTTGGTCTCATCGTACTGCAAAAGAGACAGTATTATATGTTTCTGCTCGAGAAGTTCTCTCCAGATATCGGGTGAGAGTGGAATTTCCTTCCCATGACAATCTCCAAGAATGATGCTTATACAGGAAGGTAGCTTGGCATCGATACCAATGTTTAAATATTTATAGCCTGTTAGTGTTAAAGGATATTTTCTTTCAAGAATTCGAACGATTGGATAACGAGTAATTTGGTATCCGTAATTTTAAAGAAAATATGAGATATAAAATAGATATAAAAGGAAAAAAATACTTACGTATTTGATTGTTCTTTATTTGGATTTTCATCATTGAATTTAACCTTCTTCGCGCTTATTGTCAGTTTGTCCTGGCTATTCTGTTCCATGAGGTAATTCTCAATATCCGTATTGCTGAACATTTTGTTTATATGTTTTGGAATATTGTCTTCACAGTTGGAAAGTGCGTACATTCTTTTAAAATGATGTTATTGGAACGATTGTCCCTTTCGTACTGATCGTTTTGTAAAAATGATTACACAATTATATAATTATGTGTGATATCATTTTTCCCCTTCCCTTTCATTTTCTCGTTTATACATGTATTATATATGTACTATGTATGTATTTATATGTATTTATATATGTTATATGTAACATATATATTAATAGTTTAGGTAATATATATGTTTATGTATTAACTGTACTGAATGAATTGATTCAAGATATCTTGCAACTGTTGCAATAATCCATCTCTCGAACATTCAGTGTTAAGTATTTTTTTTTATACTAAATTTATCCGCTTTTGTCACGATTCTCTTGAATTCGTTGTATTGATAAAATTGTTGTTTCTTAGCAAAATAAATATTACCATCCATATGTCGGAAAGCCATAGCTGGAGATGGCGGTATTCCGGGAAATATTGATTGTAACGTTTGATATACACTAACAGTCAGAGTATGTACATTCGTCTATTTGCGCTACATCGTTATCATCGAAGATTACGTAGGTTTGTCCTTTGTGAGTATTTATCGCGGTATTAATTACAACAGTTGGGGGAAATCCCAAATTTTTTAGATGTTTCGGCCAGCCTTCTTTTAATTTGAAACTGGGATAATTAACCATATAAACCATATTATTTATAAATAGTACTATTTCACCCGAGGGTCTTTGGTACGCGGCTGACAAAGAGAAATTTTTTGGGAGGAAATTCATGTAAGTATTTAGCTCAAATGGTCCGTCATATTTGTTATCATTTATATTTATTGACCATACATAGCCTTGATATGTGACGAATATTCGATGATTTAATATTAATATAGTATCCACATATTTTAATTCACAGAGATCTATTTTATCAGGCTTATTTGTCGGAATTTCAGTAGTCGTTGTTGGTGGTTTTATAGTAGTAGTTGTTGTTATTCCTGGTTTGTTACTTCCATATAGATACTGAATCGCTAAAATATCTTCTAAGTTGAGTTTAACAGTTGTATTAGTATTTTTAGCAAACGCAAACATTACGGAATCTTCGCGCGAACTGTGCATT